CGCTCCTTGGTAAGGCCGTAATGGGATGCTCCTTTGCACCTGCGGAAAAGGGGGGCACGATAACGAGACACAGTTAAACGCTGCCTGCTTCCAGTCAGGACACGAAGCTTAGGAAGCCCCAGCAGTATCATCCGGGGCCACGGGGGCGACCGATGAAGCGTGGACGCCCGGCAAGGGAGAAAAACACCCATCCTGGTGCATTATGCAGACTCAAAAAATTCTCCCAAATTAGCTATAATTTTGCTCAAAAAGATTATTTCTGGCCAAAGAAGGAGAGACACAGTCTTATCTGTAGCCTCATGTGTATAAATATAAACAGGATGGGGCCAAACTCTTCTTGGTGGTGGTCAGCGAAGTACAAGGGGTAACAGGTACAAGTTGAAACACAGGAAGATCCACCTCCATATGAGGAAGAACTTCTTTCCTGTGAGGCTGATAGAGCCCTGGCACAGGCTGCCCAGAGAGGCTGTCGAGTCTCCTTCTCTGGAGATCTTCCAACCCGCCTGGATGCCACCCTGTGCCACGTGCTCTAGGTTGGACTAGGTGATCCCTTCCAATTTCAGCCATTCTGTGATTCTGTGTATAAACAGTTACTGTGGATGCGAAAGGCAGGAATGGCACTGGCTAATTAAACCAAAGGCCAGAATCTATCATTTGCCCCTTGTCTTGGTTAACGAAAGAAAGCAGGGAACAGCCCGAGAGCTTCTGGGTGCTGCGGGTGGAACAAAAGCCACCGCAGCTGGCTCTGCACCGTGAGCAGTCCTGCTCGTCCTGCTCTCCTTGCGCCAGCGTGCGTGAAGTTCCTGATTCTGCTATTCCAGCTTAGAAAGGGGAGGCAGCACCTTGACCTAGCAAAAAACCCGCGCGGCAGCAGCAAGGGTCCTGCTGGCCCCGCCTGAAAGTCCCTTTAATGAAGCTGAAGGCCGTTGTGCTCTTCGTGATTCAGTATTTAACCAGAGTTATAAAACAGCCAAAAAACCAGGGCAGCCCAAGGAAACAGCACCTGGCACTTTTCTCCAGCACCACTTCCGCCCGATGCTCCAGCATTATAACTTCATTCACTCTACTAAAAAAAAATCTGCCTTTCAATAGTAATCTAGTAAGCTTGGCCTACTTACAGTTACTATTATCTCCTTCTGCATGGCAAAGGCTAACTGATGACTTTCCTAAAAACGCCCTGTGGGATGAATTCACAGAAATAGCTGCACAAACCCCTAGGGACAGCAAGCTCTTTGCAATGTACAGCGTGCACAAAAGGCAATGCATAATACACACAGCACACAAAGCTCGCGAGGTTGTGTCAGGGAAAAACAGTGCCCTAACAGAGGCTTTGGAAGAGAAGTCATTTCTGAAAGCAATTCTTGGGACAGCAAGAAGAAAGGAGGACTAGGCTCAGTTTTGCGTGTTGACTTCAGAGCAGTGATTTAATTTCTCTGAAGGTATTACTTTTTCATGAGAAAGAAAATGAATTAAAAACATTTTTAGCATTAAAATATGATCTTCCATCACTTATCTGATACTAATTTTGACAACTTCCTTCTTAAAAATAAAAAACCCCAAACCCTTCACACTGACGCAACCATGCAAGCGTTTTGTACACACTTTAAGGTCTCTGAAACTTTCACTAGGAAAAGGAAATGTCCTGAAAGTAACTAAGGAAATACTCCTTACTGGAATGGAAAGCTGGTCAACTATTCCAAAGCACCAACAAACAGGTATTTGGGATGCTTAATCCAGCCACGATGGTGTCAAACGGAAGGGAGGAGCTCTCCTGTCTCCACTGCAGAAGGCAGCTCCCTATATCTCCATTCAGCTGCCAGGAATGGCATGTCCCTCAGCATCCCAGCACTCAGTGGGATCCTGTCCTTTTTAATCACAGCAAGCAGAACCACAAAGGTCCCTCTTGTAGCCTGCACAGAGTTCTCCAACACAGCATTTTGGGAACCCTTGTTCTCAGTATCCTTGACGTCTGCCAGAACTTGCAGTGGAGTCACATTTACTAACCAAGTCTGTGAAACTCCACAAAATTGTTAAACATAGTTTTAAAAGCCACAGCAACAAAACATAGACAAGAAATTGACTTTGTGGTGAATTGTTTGCTGTCCTCAAAAGACAATCTCTGCACTAGAGAGATGTGTAAAGATTCAATAATCAAGAACAATGATGGGAAGATCATAGTTTAAAAGTTTGAGTAGGCGTTGATGACATACCCTTATTTATTAGCAAAGAGCAGTATCAGGGGTACTCCTACTCTGTTTTTTTTTAATTGCCAGTGAAACTTCAGTAGTGGATATTAGGGAAGCAGTCCTGTAAATGGCCTGCAAACGAAGCCTCAAAAGGCTTCATACTATCCAGTTTTGGTGGATGGTATAAAGCCTGACAGGAAAATCATACGGGGCTCTGCCCAGAGATTTCCACCTAGGTGGGTTCAGCTGCTGCTTCGTGCTCATCTGTGCTTTTGCACTTAACACTTCCATGCAAATTCTCAGTCTCTGCTGCTGAATTCACTTCAGACATCCAGTTAACAACATCAGCCCAACTGCAATGAACAGCAGACAGCTGCTTTGAACGCAAAGAGGGATGACAAGGTTTAAGATGTGGCTTATTGGAGAAGACGAGTTATCGTGATATAAAGCAAAAAAGCAAATCTTTCTAATTCTGCCAGAAATAGTTAAAAGAGAGCCAAAGCTCTTCAAGTATGAGTGCTGCATCTATTTCCTAAATAACTGTGGCAGGCATGCATGAACAAGATGCAAGCCCTCTTTCTTCAGACTAACATAGTGTCATTGAAGAAGAAAAATAAAAAAACACCCTAGCAACCCCTCAAACTCGTAATAAAAACTGGAACAGCATCCCTTCACTTTCATTGTTTTCCTTGTGCTGACACTGCTGCGATAACAGAAAACAGAAAGAGACAACTGTCTAAGTGGAATCATATTTATAGCGTCCCAGCTATGCTTTTCCATATGGCTGGATTTGGCTCCCAGAAAAGCGAGATCCATAAAGCAGCTACATGCCAGCGCTAATTATCTCTCTCACTGTGATTGTTAATCAGCTGCCTGATTTACAGCGGGAAGAGGAGAGGGGTGGCAGCCAGCACGGGATACCTGGGTGCATCGGGCAGCCACGAAGCGGAGCTGCCGCTGCTGCAGGCCAAGGGCACCTGGGGGTTTATGCTCCTGCTCCGGACAGCAGGCACTTTGTGCTGCTCTATGACATGGGAACCACTCGAAGGTCAGAAAAAAAGAGGCTAAAAAAAAAGACATGAATTTTTGTCGAAGTTCATTGTTGAGCTCAAGCCATGAAGTTCATTCACGAAGACACTGCTGAGCTCATGCCACTAAAACAGCATCGCCTGGTGCCACAAGCTCAACACTTCACCTGGACGAGGCTTCGCTCCCAGCACATCGGAGCAACCGGAGCCACGGCTGCCCCTGCCCCTCACGCGATGGAGCGTTGCAGGCTCCAGCAGCAGCACAGCCCAGGCGCCGGAGCAAGGAGATCCAAAACCCCACGGCTGCTTTAGCCTGGTCCCACAGTTTGCAAAAACAAGCTTTGCTCAAACTCCAGGCCAAGAGAAACATTTCCGCGTATTGCAAATGCAAACGAAAACAGTGGTTTTACAACAGCGACGTGTTTCCCTCTCAGTGTCTCTAAGGCACCCACCCATGCAGCGGGGAAGGCCCAAAAGCAAAGCTGACCTCAGAGATTTCCATACCCAGGCTGGCATGAGGGCGAACAAGAAAGGCAAAACACACAAGGACAACCGCACTGATGTTTCACCTCGCTTTTAGTTATCTAAAGAAGCCATAATCAAAGCGAGGAAAAAAAAACAAAAAAAAAGGATGTGTCTATAACATACTTGCTTCTTCTCACATACCTGGCTTTCTGCTCTGGGTCACTTCACGTTGTTCAAGTGCAGCCACGAACAGCGTGTACCAAGCACGTGTGACTGCTGGTGGAAGGAAGGAAAC